GAGAGGTAACAGTCTCTTATTGGTTTTTCTCTTCCTGACATCTTAATAGAAGGGACATTTACATTTGGTACCAATACAGAGAGATGTTTGTATTAATTCATTTCCCAGGTTTTGTCCAGTACACACTATTTTCATTCAGTGCAGTTGTGTCGTAAGCATTAAAACCAGTGTCTGTCAGTCTCTGTCAGTCTTTACAAGTCTTTGTTGTTGGTCTTTACAAGTTTTCATTTCAAATGTTCGGATTAAATAAGTGTATACATGGGAAGCTGGTTTTGTAACATTTGTTTATACTGACGCTTGTATGTTGTTTGTATGAAGGATCAGGGGGACGCTTTTACCACTGGTCCTGTGGGGTTCAGATCCGTGCAAATTTGGATGTGCTGATAGACTGGGCTTACACGGCAGGGCTCGGAGAACTGGCACAGAGCCACCTCCTCAAACTCTCCTCCGCTGTCAATCTGCTGGCCACCACTCGAGAACATCTGCTGCAGGTCAGAGACGATGTGTGAATATAAATGGAAAAGAAAAAAAAATTGTACCTTAATTTACCAGTCATGTGAAAATCCCGAGACTGACCAAATGAACAGTTTATCACTTATGAAAAATAAATACACAACTAGGAGGTGAAAAAATGAATGCAAATTAATACAAATAAGTATTAATTGTTCTATATCTGCAGTAGTTTCTTAAGGTAAGGCTATCAAACAACATTTTCTGAACCTTTGGGACAAGTGACCTATGTCGCTTGATATAGTAAAATGGGTCTGTATATAAGCATAATTTATTCTTTATATCATAACATATATCATATAATGATCGTCACATGCATGTTTAGGCTTTTACACCACTTTCGTACATAACATTCAGGGATTTTTAGTGGCAAATATGGCCTCCTGTAATCTGGTGAAAACTACTTAGTACATCAGGCCCATATTGTAGAGCACTACTTGAAATGTTCTCTGTCTATTGCACTATAAAAGTACAGGCTTCTTAATATTTAAATAAATAAGGATATGAAATCTTATAAGTAACTCAAATTTGAGTGCAATTTTGACAGGAATTGGACAGCGTTCATGGATACTTCAGTTCTTTTAGACCCTCCTGTACATGCTGCCAATCAGAAATGCAAACAGAAGCATTTTTCAAGCCTTGAAACACTTCTCACTCCCTCTGACTGCAGTCTTGTAAAATGTAATGAATACAAGGACGACTGTTGGCGTGCACAGAACCATCCTGTAGTGTTGTCATCCGATTACAAATTTCTATTGACCGTCTTTCAACATTATCCATATAGACATCAGGAATTAGTGTAGTCGTCAGAAATAATTAACAGAGAGTATTAACCATTAAAGGATTAAGACTGGCGAACACAAAGGGTCATTCAGTCCGGCAGATAAAGATGACATGGCGGATAAGCCTTGCCTACATGTATCAAGTGCGGGTTTTTTTATTCTGTAGCATGGTTCATTGTCTGAATGTGAATGTCACCATTCATGCTACACTGCACTACATTCTACATGCTCTAAATTGTGTGGCTTCCTTGGATGAGAAAAATGGCAATATTCTTATCAGCTGAAAGTGATCTGAGACATTCACTAATAGTGAACTCATGATTCTGTAGCAGCAAATTATGGTCAGCCCTTAAGTGTAACTCTTAAAGCAAATACTATGTGCAGATAAATTATTTGGTCACATTATTGTTACTTTTAGACCTTCCTAACTTAGTCAGAGGTACAGCTCAGTGATCTAAATGGTTACTGAGTGGGTTCAGATTAATAGTGCAGGCTGAGCTGATTTAACATCAGCAGCATTAGTGAGTAGTTAGAGCTCAGCAGTTAATGTTCTCTACTAGTAACTAGTGAAATTTGCGTTAAAATCCAAGGATTTCAAGAGAGCATTCTGGCATTCTGGCCCTTGAGCAATACTCTTAACCCTCAACTCATCACTTAGTGCATGTTCCAGGACTGAATTCTGCCTCAGCTGGAAATTGTTTTGGTGAAAGTGTCTGTCAGTGAATAAATGCAGCAAAATATCTAAACACTTCGAGTTAAATTTTCATACCCATCTTTCATATTTTGCTTCACATTCTTTGGAGAATAACAGAAATAGGATTATTTGTATCCTGTTTTCGCCTGAACCAATAATTTCACCATTTGAGGCAAACGTTTTGGGTCATTTGGCACATTTGTGCAGTTTGTAATGTATTTCTACAAAGATACCTTAGAAAATGGTCCTTAGAAAATTGCAATATTGCTTTCCAATGGATTTGGCTAGTTTCTTCACCTCAGGTTTATTTTTTTCCTACCCAGAAATTAACTTCCTCTCAGAACCTAATCTGTTTGCTCTCAGCTGAAACAGATCTGCTCAGCTCCATCTCTTTACTTTGAAAATCAACTCATAAAGCAGATGTAATTTCAACAGAGAGGGTGGGTCAGTTGCCTTACAGGCAACAGAGGGTTCTAAAAATTACAAACTGTTCCTAACTTGCCTAAGTAAATCCATGTGTTCCTCTGTGCAGGCATCATGGGGTTCTTTGAGGACAGAGTTTTCCTCACTAAGCCCTGCTCAGCTTCACCACATGCTGAGGGAGTACAACCCACGCCGGCCCTGCCCCTCCTCATGGACGCCCTGCAGCGCCGACGCCGACGCAGCATGCCGAACTGGTGAGAGATGTACACAGTGACATTGATGTATGATAGTGATATTGCTCTGCAGAAGCAGATCTCAGATTTGTTGTCAGACTGACACAGGAAAGATCAAGACCTTTTCCAGCTGGTGTATCATGCATTCACTTACTGTGATTTGAAACTGCAGCAATTCCAAGCAAGTCCACTTTGAGCTTGAATTGTTTTTGTGTTATTACACTAAATACACAATGCCTCTTTTTCTGTTCCCCAGCTGATATTCTGGAGAGCTTTGATAACCACCCGCCTCTTGTCCTGCCCATCGATGGCTTTCAGCTGAACTTAAAAAAGCCTATTGGAGATACAAGCCTCATTAAAGAACTTGTAAAGCTTCAGGCAGTCATCAAGACACTTAATGTTGGAGCATCAACTGCACAATGTGCTCAGGTAAGCAGTAATATTTAATAATAATTACAGCCCACTCCAGAATTATTGCAACTAAAATATCCTAGTACTTTTTTTTAATAATGGCAGTTTGTTAGTATATAATTTAAATATTCTTTAGGGTGTCAATAATTTTTTTACACATTTAAATATATATATATATATATATATATATATATATATATATATATATATATATATATATACATTATATTAATTAATAAATAAATAAAAAGATTGGTAGATTAGTAGTTTCTTCTAAAAATTGTGCAAACATTATTGTGATTACTTTATTGTGTCATGTATATTTTATGCAATTATTCTCTAACAGGGTGCCAATCATTCTTAGGTTGACAGTAAATAACTTCCAACATAGTTTTTTCTACTTGTTAGGCTAATAATCATAATTGTAGCAAACTGTAATTGCATCATTTGCTCTTTTTTAGCTAAAGAAAAACATGACATTTGGATTTTACTTGTGAAACATTAAAGAGAGTTGATTACAAATACAGACATAATAACGGCTGTTTATTAATATATGTAATAAGCAGTGGCTTTAAAACTACAATTATTGTAAAATTTGGATACAAATTTGAAATAGAATTGAAAATTGAATTAGAAAACTCACACATATTTAGGATTATTCACTAACCCCGCCCTTACTTGTAACTTTAACCCATGGTACTTTGACTTTTTATTTATTTATTTAAATGAAACTGTCCACCTCTTATTCTCTGTTGTGTAGCGTGAATCTGCCATACCCCTGGAAGCCAAACGCACCAAAATGGAGGTTCTTCCAAAAGCCCATCTAGAAGAAGGACACACACCATTGATGCTGCCTAAGAACTGTGATTCTTCCACTTGTTCTTCAGTATCAGGTGACGAGGGCATGTGTGATGTTCTGCTAACCAAAAAGATAAAGGCTCTGGATCTACAGGACAAAGAGGTGAGCCACAACAGCAGAACTAAGCACTCGGCACTGGAAACCTCGTGCTTGCTCACCCCACCTAACACACCACTAAGCTCAGAGCGGATGGAGACCGAGACTGAATGCCAAGATATGGAGTCCCACCATCACACTCCCCAGTGCTGTGAGGAAGGTGAGCTACGCAACAGAGATGCTATTGCACACATCTGGTAAAGTTCAGGATGATGAACTTAGGAGCACTATGCTGTAGATTAAATAGAATCCATTAATATAACAGATCTAATAATATGAGAAAGATCTAATCCAATAGTCGTTGTATTGAATGAATGATGTTTAAATTGGTTGAATCTGTAGGTGGATGTGGAAGGCATGAAGTCGGTGATGATGAAGTGTTTGTGGTGGAGCTGCTGAAGGGCCCTGGAGGACTTGGACTGTCTCTAGTGGATGGGGTGGTGAGAACTGGAGGAGATCTTTCCGAGAGGAAGATCTTCCCCTTATTTCCTTAAAGACCTTAAAGTTTGGCTGAAATGAAATTTACACAACTTACACACATTTCCCGCTTTCATTAAATGTTGTCGAACAGCCAAGACATGTTTTTTTTATTTGTAATTTCCTCGTTTTGTTTGCACTCAAGCTACAAGAGTAGTGGTAATCACACAATTTCCTCAATTTCCTTTGAGCTGTTAAATAATCTCAAATAGACTTGCTTAAGTGGTTTTGACAGTGTGTATTCCCATCCGCCAGACACACACATACACACACATTCACAACTAGGGTCAGTTTAGTGTAGCCAATCCACCTATTCGTATGTTTTTGGGAGGTGCGAGGAAACCAGAGAACTTGAAGGAACATGGACATGGGCACATGGAAAACACACTAAACGCTCCACTGACAGTAACTCAAGCTCAGGATTGAATCAGAGACTATGGAGCTGTGAGGCAGCAATGCTACATGCTACACTATTATGCCGCCCTAGTTCAAGTTTGATTTTGTAAAACTCTATAGGGTGTATGGTAGCTCAGTGGTTAAGGTGTTAGACTACTGGTTGGAAGGTCATGAGTTCAAATCCCAGTGCTGCCACTGCTGGGCCCTTGAGCAAGGCCCTTAACCCTCAACTGCTCAGTTGTATAAAAATGACATAAATGTAAGTTGCTCTGGATAATGGTGTCTGCTAAATGCCATAAATGTAAATATGTTATCGTCCATGGTCTTTCAAACTATGACAAATAATGTCTTTTAAGTCAAGTGTGTTTTGATTTAGACCTGTAGTGTGAGGATGCTACACTGGCAGCTATCATTACATGTCAGCTCTATTGCCCCCTTAGTTATTGTACAAAACTATAGAAGGGAGGTTAGGATACAATTATTGTCTTGGCCTACTGACTACATTTGCATTAATGGGTTAAATTTATTTCATTTTTAGTCAGACTGTTCCTTTAAGTAGGTCTTCTCATGTCATCTTTTTTCTTTTACAACTGACTGAGGTTTTTATTAGGATTCTGGAGCTACTCGAGAAAAATCATTCTTGTGAGACGTTTTGAATATCAGTCAGTTTATGATATTAATACAGACACATTTGTCCAGTTTATTTTGCAGTTAGAGAACTTTTGGTAACTTTCTCTCTCTCTCTCTCTCTCTCTCTCTCTCAAAAAAAAAAGTTTACTTCCACTCATATTATGTAAAGTGCACCCCCATGTGGTGGAGCACAGAACTGATTTTTTTTTTTTTTTTTTTTTTTTTTTTTTTTTTTTTTTTTTTTTTTTTTTTTTTTTTTTTTTTTTTTTTTTTTTTTTTTTTTTTTTTTTTTTTTTTTTTTTTTTTTTTTTTTTTTTTTTTTTTTTTTTTTTTTTTTTTTTTTTTTTTTTTTTTTTTTTTTTTTTTTTTT